TTGAACCCGGGAGATGCAGGTTGCAGTGAGCCAAGATCGCACCATTGCACTCCAACCTGGGCAACAAGAGCAAAACTTTATCTCGAACAAAAACAAAAACAAAACAAAATTATACTAAGCTGATGTTACTTGGGCAATTTTTATTTTCACATTTGAAGGTTTCTTTCCCAGTAACTGAGCATGTTTTTGCCAATGGTAGTCTGTGCCTGGCTGCTACCAGGCCTTCCTTCTGGTTCCTGAGGAGGAGACAGTGGATGGCATTAGGGCAGGGCAGGGCAGGGTGGAGCAGAACTGGTCTGCAATGCATTTCCCCACCAAGGTTTCTGAGTTCCCTCAAAGCTTGGGGGACCTCTTGCTTTGCCAGTGTCTTCCTCTCTCTGGTCCTGGAGTGCTGTCCAACTTATCTCCACACTGCTGGCTCCTTAAGGTGGGGGTCTCAACTCCAAGGCCAGCCTCCCAGGAGGCCTTCCCTGCCTAAAGCCAGCCCCAGCCACTCCGGGCCTTTTGGGGATCTGAAGGATCTCGCTCCTGTACTAGCAGGTTTGTTGATTGACTATTGTCTCTCACACCAGAATGGAACCACACAGGGCACAACCTGGTCTCCTTACCCCGATCCCAGTGTCCACAGTGGTAGGAGCTCATTGAGTAAGTGGACAAACTCATGACCAGCTGTCAGCATGACCAAGCCTGTCAGCGTGGCAGGGGCCAGGGAGCGAGCTGGGAGGTCCCTGCCTTTGCCCGCATGCCGGGGCTCCTCTGGGCAGGCACCACGTCTGTCCCACCCTATTCTGAGCTGTGGCTGTGCCTGTAGCTTTGACCCGCTGCCTGTCAGTATGGTGGCCTGAGTGGGCGACTGGCCTGAGCAGCTGCTGGGCGGGGCTGGAGGGTGGAAGGCCAGCGGGTGGGAGACACCCCCCAGCCCCTTCCCTGCCAAGCTCAGGGAGAAAAGAGGACCCTGCTGGCTCCCTCTAGGCGTGGCTGCTCTGACCCTTGGTGGGGTGGTGTGGGTGCCTTCCTCTGGAAGCTCTGACATCTTGGGGGAAGGAAGTCTCAAGAGTCCACAGAGGTGGAGGTAGCTTCAGAGACCAGCTGGAGGCCTTCACCTGTCCCCGCACCTTCACTCTACTGCACGCCTATGGCTGCTTCCCAGGGGTCCACAGTCTGGAGACAGTGTTGGTCCCTGGCCAGGACCCTGCAAAGCCAGAGGCACAGAGGGAAGCAGGGGCTCTGGGTGGGCACTGCCCATGCTAGGGGCCCTGCACAGAGCCCCTAATCCCCAGAGGAGCTGGAGGAATTCTCTGCTTGATTGGAGACACTTCCCAGCAGGCCTGGCTGCAACCACCTTCTTTGAGTTACAATTTGTTTGGAATTCAAATCTACATGGAAGGAAGTGACAACCTCAAGTGCAACACTAGCTGTTTTTTTTTGTGTGTGTGTCCAAAATGTGGGCCAACGAAACCATCTCCAGGAAAACAAAGAAGTCCGTTTTCTATTTTTTTTTTTTGAAACAGAGTCTCACTCCTTCACCCAGGCTGGAGTGCAGTGGCGCCATCTCGGCTCACTGCAAGCTCCGCCTACCGGGTTCAAGCAATTCTCCTGCCTCAGCCTCCCGAGTAGCTGGGATTACAGGTGTGCACCACAATGCCTGGCTATTTTTTGTATATTTAGTAGAGAGGGGGTTTCACCATGTTGGCCAGGCTGGTCTTCAACTCCTGATCTCAAATAATCCATCCGCCTCGGCCTCCCAAAGTGCTGGGATTACAGGCGTGAGCCACTGCATCTGGCCTAAATATCTTTTTTGTTTTTTTTTTAAGACGGAGTCTCGCTCTGTTGCTCAGGCTGGAGTGCAGTGGCGCCATCTCGGCTCACTGCAAGCTCTGCCTACCAGGTTCACACCATTCTCTTGCCTCAGCCTCCTGAGTAGCTGGGACTACAGGCGCCAGCCACCACGCCCAGCTAATTTGTTGTATTTTTAGTAGAGACGGGGTTTCACTGTGTTAGCCAGAATGGTCCCCATCTGCTGACCTCGTGATCCGCCTGCCTCGGCCTCCCAAAGTGTTGTGATTACAGGCGTGAGCCACCGCGCCTGACCGGACAGAATGTTTTGGTTGTTTTTTTTTTGAGACGGAGTCTTACTCTGTCGCCCAGGCTGGAGTGCAGTGGCGCGATCTCGGCTCACTGCAAGCTCTGCCTCCCGGGCTTACCCCATTCTCCTGCCTCAGCCTCCCAAGTAGCTGGGACTACAGGCGCTGCTACCACGACCTGCCAATTTTTTGTATTTTTAGTAGGGACGGGGTTTCACCGTGTTAGCCAGGATGGTCTCAATCTCCTGACCTCCTGATCTGCCTGCCTTGGCCTTCCAAAGTGCTGGGATTACACGGGTAAGCCACAGTGCCCGGCCTTTTTTTTTTTTTTAGAGACAGGGTCTGTCTCAAAAAAAGGGTGTGTCCCTGTCACCCAGGAGGGAGTGCAGTGGCTCAAGGACAGCTCCCTGCAGCCCCAACCTTCTGGGCTCAAGCAATCTTCCCACCTCAGCTTCCCAAGTAGCTGAGACCACAGGTGCAGGCCACCATGCCCGGCTAATTTAAAAAAAAAATATTTTTTTGGTAGACGGGGTCTCACTATATTTCCCAGGTTAGTCTTGAACCCCTGGGCTCAAGCAATGAGCCTGCCTCATCCTCCCAAAGTGGTGGGATTACAGGCGTGAGCCACCCTGCCGGGTTAAATATCCCTTTTAAGGAAATGATCTTCTTACCCAGCTTTCTGATGTGTGAACGCACAGAGAGGCCTGGCCTCCAATTGTGGGGGCCAAGAGTCAATGGGAAGAGTCGGGGGACAGCGTGGAGTGTGATGACAAGGAGACAAACCCCAAGGCAGCGGAGAGAGGGAGTATGGAGCTGCCCTGGGGTCACCTGCTGGGGGTCACCTGCTGGTAGGTCCTGGCTCCCTCTCCAGACACCTGCCCTGCCGCAGGTCGGGCCAAGACCTGCACAGGGGCGCTGGGCCGGCTCCCCCAGGGTAGGAACTGCGCCCAGGCGTGCTGGTTTGAGGCTGGTTCCAGCCTCCACTGGGGAAGTGAGGGGCAGGAGGTCCCAGCTAAAGGTCACTCACATTGCAGTACCCAGGCCAGCTTGGGCACCCCTGGCCCGTCGGGAATGTCTCTCCACCTCAGGTGAGCACAGTCCGAGCCCTCAGCCCCGCGACCATTGCGTCCCCGCGCCCGCACGCCTCGCTGGACGCTGCCTCCCCTGGAGACCACCTGGCCGACTGTCCAACTTCGGGGCCCCGGGCTTCCCGCTTCCCGCCCTGCCATGGCTTGGGTCTCTCCCACTGCGTGGCCAGGCGTGGAGGGCCGACCTGGCCCCGAAAGCCGTCTCAGCGCTCCGAGGCCCTGGGGCGGAGGGCAAGGGTCTCGCCGGCCTGCCCGCCGGGACCCGCGGGACCGAAATTCTGATAAGCCACCTGGCCGGGGTGGCTGGCAAACCGGCCGCGTCGGGGGCACCCGACGCCGCCCCTCTCAGGCCCGAAACCCCTGGCCCGCGCATCAGGGACAGTCCGCCCGGGGCCGTCGGGCGGGGCGGGGCTGGCGCGGGCGGGAGCCGCGGACACTCGGCCACCGGGCCACGGGGCAGCGGGGGCCGCTGGGCTGCGCCGCCAGGGTCACGCGGCGCGGTGCCTGTCTCGGCGCGGGGTCCCTGGGCGTGGCCGCTGTCCCCCTCGTGTGTGGTACCCCAGGTCACCGTGTGGCGTCCCGGTAGTGTGTGGGACCCCAGAGGCGTCCGGGGCCTCCCCGCTGTGTGGCGTCCCACCCTGGGAGAACCCCGGCTGCGTGGCGTGGCCCCCCGGCCTCCCCCAGCTGGTTTGCGGTCGTGGCGGGGGCCTGTGGGTTTCTGGGCCCCGGCGGCGGCGAGACGGGCGCCTTCCCAGCCGCGCAGGAAGCGGCCTCGGCCGGAAGGGGGGCCCCGGGCGCCACCGCCGCCTCCGCCTCCGCCCGCGCCGAGCGGCCTTCGACGGGCGGGGCCGAGCGGGGCCGAGCGGAGTCGAGCATGGCCGAGCGGAGCCGAGTCCTGGCCGAGAGTAGCCGAGTCGTGGCAGGGCGGGTCCGAGCGTGGCCGAGTCCCGGGCGAGCGGAGCCGAGCGCGGCCGAGTCCGGGCGGGGAGCGCGCGTTCCTGGAAGAGCCCGACTGGGGAGCGGGTCACATTCTTGGCCAGCGCTCGGGCTGAGGCGGACGCACGGCAACAAACAGCGCGGGGGGCGGGGCCGGGGCGGGGCGGAGCAGGCGGCGCGGGGCGGGGCGGCGCGGCGGCGGCGTGAGCTCAGCGCCGGGCGCTCAGTCCGAGCCGGAGCGAGCCGCCGGGAGGATGTGCGCCGAGCGCCCCGAGCCCCGCGCCGCCGCCGCGCTCTGAGGGCCGCGGGCGAGAGGCGCCTCCGCCGCCCCGGAAGCCGGGCGGGCGGGCCGCGGAGCCGGCGGGCGGGCGGGCCGGGGGCCGGCGGCGGGCGCGACGCGGCCGGCCAGCGCCGCCGGGACGAGCCGGGCGGGCGCCGCGCGGTGGGAGGAGCGGGGCGGCGGCGGCGCGCCGCGCGAGGACGGCCCGGCGGGCCCCGCGCCCGCGCCCCCGCTCCTCCCGGGCCCCTCGGCCTCGGCCGCCGCGGCGATTCGCGCCTCGCGGCGCCGGCACCTGCCCGCGCGCCCCCCGCGAGCCCCGGGCCCGCGAGCGTTGGCGTTGGCGTTGGCGGCGCGCGCCGGGGCATGCCCCGCGCCTAGAGCCCGGGGGGCGCGCGGGGGACGCGCGGGGGGCCCGGGCGGCGGCGGGCGCGGCGCGGGGCGCGTGGATGTGGCGCCGGGCCCGGGCGGCGGCGGGCTCCAGCGGCGGGACCCCTTCGCCCCGCCCGCCTTCCCCTTCGCGCCCCCGGGCGAGGCCGCGGCCGTGATCGGCCGTGAGCCGGCGGCGGGGGGCGGCCGGGGTCGGGGCCGCGGGCGCCGCCGGGGCGCGCGGGGCGGCGGCGGGGGCCGGGGGGGCCCGGGCGCGCGGGAGCGGGAGCGGCCGGGGGAGACGGAGCGCACCATGGAGGCGGCGGCAGGCGGCCGCGGCTGCTTCCAGCCGCACCCGGGGCTGCAGAAGACGCTGGAGCAGTTCCACCTGAGCTCTATGAGCTCGCTGGGCGGCCCGGCCGCCTTCTCGGCGCGCTGGGCGCAGGAGGCCTACAAGAAGGAGAGCGCCAAGGAGGCGGGCGCGGCCGCGGTGCCGGCGCCGGTGCCCGCAGCCACCGAGCCGCCGCCCGTGCTGCACCTGCCCGCCATCCAGCCGCCGCCGCCCGTGCTGCCCGGTCCCTTCTTCATGCCGTCCGATCGCTCCACTGAGCGCTGCGAGACCGTGCTAGAAGGCGAGACCATCTCGTGCTTCGTGGTGGGAGGCGAGAAGCGTCTGTGTCTGCCGCAGATCCTCAACTCGGTGCTGCGCGACTTCTCGCTGCAGCAGATCAACTCGGTGTGCGACGAGCTCCACATCTACTGCTCGCGCTGCACGGCCGACCAGCTGGAGATCCTCAAAGTCATGGGCATCCTGCCCTTCTCGGCGCCCTCGTGCGGGCTCATCACCAAGACGGACGCCGAGCGCCTGTGCAACGCGCTGCTCTACGGCGGCGCCTACCCGCCGCCCTGCAAGAAGGAGCTGGCCGCCAGCCTGGCGCTGGGCCTGGAGCTCAGCGAGCGCAGCGTCCGCGTGTACCACGAGTGCTTCGGCAAGTGTAAGGGGCTGCTGGTGCCGGAGCTCTACAGCAGCCCGAGCGCCGCCTGCATCCAGTGCCTGGACTGCCGCCTCATGTACCCGCCGCACAAGTTCGTGGTGCACTCGCACAAGGCCCTGGAGAACCGGACCTGCCACTGGGGCTTCGACTCGGCCAACTGGCGGGCCTACATCCTGCTGAGCCAGGACTACACGGGCAAGGAGGAGCAGGCGCGCCTCGGTCGCTGCCTGGACGACGTGAAGGAGAAGTTCGACTACGGCAACAAGTACAAGCGGCGGGTGCCCCGGGTGAGTGGCCCCAGGCCTGGGAGCAGGGGTGGATGTGCTTGCGGTGGGGGACCCTTCTGGGCCACAGGCTCTGGTCTCCAAAGGCTGGGACCTGTGTTTCTGCCGTGCCCCATGTGTCAAGTCTTTGCTTTGTTTTAGGGAAATTCAGAGTGTTCCCCTTGGCAGGGCCAGAGGGTTTAGTAGGAAGGCCCTCCTGCCCTTTCCCCCAGGAGGAGCCTGGAGTGGGGGCTGTGTCGGTGGGGTGGGGGCTAGGCCTGGTGTGTGGGGAAGGCCCACAGGCCCATAGCCTTTGCCCAGATAGGATAGGAAGGCACAGGCCTCCTATGCTCCCGGGAAAGCGGCCTGCTCCGAGGTCAGGGAAGTTAGCTCCAGTTGGGCCCCAGCCGGATGCCTCAGGCCCAGGTCTTCCTTGGGGTTGGGGTGGAGGTGACTGCCCTCACCCCGAAGGCACCCAGCCTCGAAGATGGAGGGCTGCCTGCCCTTGGGCCCCAGGAGACAGAGCTTGGGCGAGACGAGGCCTGGTTTTGTTACTGGCTCCCGGTCCATGTTTGTTGCCTTGAAGTTTTGGGACAGAGACACAAAATGAAGCCAGGTGTTCAGGCTGCAGCGACAGAGGCCTGAGACTGGGCGGCTCCAGCACTGTGCTGGTTGGTCTCCCTGGGCCTGCCAGGGACCAAATCCCAGAGTGCCCCGTGTGGGGTGAGGGCCACTTGGCACCCGGCTGAGGGCCTGGTCAGCAGGCCCCTGGGCCCACATGCTGGAGTTACTGGCGGCTTGGGATTTGGACTCACCCATTTCCTTCTCTCCTTCTGAAACGCAGAGGGGTGCGCCGGGGAGGGAGGCCGCTGGCCTGGCTTTGTAGTTTGCCAGTTGGAGGATCTACGGGATCCGGCATGGGCAGCTCCCAGGCCACGAGGCGCCGAAATTACTCAGTGGGGTCCTCAGGAACTTTCCGTTGCATACCTCCCCAAGTATGTGTAACTTTTCTTTTAAATATCCAGGCTTATTAAATTGCACACACAGAATGCTGCATTGGCTCAGCTATTCTTGGGAGGCCTAATTAATTCAGCTATTGCATCAAACTTTTTTTTTCTGAATCTGTGAATAGATGCTCCAGCCCGGTTTTCTCTGGGCGCCCCTCCAGCAGAGTGTCAGATCGTGGGGAGGAGGGGCTGTGGATGGAAGCGAGGGACTGTCGCCTCTGCGTGGAGGGGGCTGCGGAGGGTGCATGTGCGTGTGCCTGTGTGTGTGCGTGTGTGTGTGCAGGGGTGCTTCTGACCCTGCCAGGCCAGGGCTCAGGTGGCAGCTGCCTGCAGACCTGTGGGCTGGGGACGGATGCTCGTGGCAGAGCTGCAGACAGACCTCGCAGGCTGGGACCCTTCATGTCACATGGGGAGTTGGCTGGGGTGGGTCCGATGGCGCTCCCTGTGGGCTGGGGTCTTTCTTTTTGGGGTGGCCGCACCCTCGTCAGTGCCTATGGCTGGGGGAAGCCATGTGTCGCTGGGGTGGTTGGTGGGCTCGGGCAGGCTGCATAGTGGGTCACCTGTGGCCAAGGCCTGAGCTGCTGGGACACACTCATCACTGTCTCCAGAGCTGACGGCAGAGGATCTCGGCTGAGCAGGGTGTGTCTGCGTTTGTTTTTGTCCGACTGTGGGTCATGTATGTGCTTGCAGTCTTTCTGTCTTCCTGGGTTTTGTTGGGGGGCCATTGGAGTGGCCAGCAGGGCCTCTTCGTCACAGCTGACACAGAGCAGGGCCCAGGCCACCGGCTTCTCCCTCCCGGCGGTTGTGAGCGCCGGGGTCCTTGGGCCGCCATGGAGACGGGCCAGACAAGCTTTCCCCCTGGTCATCTCAGCGGATGGCTCCAAGTTGCCTTTCCCTTTTGAAGTCCTCCCCAGCACAGCTCTGAAATCTCATCTATTGATTAAAAAGGAATTCCCAAGCCATACTGACGACGTTTACGGTGTGAGTGACTGGGTCCTCCAGGCCTGAGTGGCAGCCACAGCCTGGTCCTGGCAGTGGTGGCCTCCGCCTGGCTCCCTGCATGTTCACCAGCTCCTGCGGGCTTTCCTCTCCTCATGCTCCTGGGGGTGGGCACCCATCCTGCCCGTGTCGTCTCCTGCTCTGTGTTCTTGACGTGGGGTGGCAGCCAGGGACTCTGCCCTCGCTCAGTGCGTGCCCCCAGGCTCTGTGACTGTGTGGTTGGGAGTTCTGGGCTGCAGGATCCCCTTAAGTCTCCCTAGGACAGCCATGTGCGTGTCTCTGTGCACGGGGGCAACACATGAGAAGGGAGTGTGGTCTCAGGGTGGGCGTGGACCCGCAGTGCCCAGACCCCACTTCTCCTAGAAGGAGTGGCCTGGGAGGCCCCGCCTCCACCCTCGCTGGCTGCCGTTGGCTCCTCCCACCCATGTCTTGACAGCTTATTCTCAGGATATGTTTTGATTTCTTCACTTCCTTTGTAGCTTATTTTAATATTTTTGATCTGCCGAAGATGAGGGCTGAAGGAACAAAGAGTGTACTGGAACCCTCTTTGCAGGGCTGCTGCTCCCAGCAGGCCTTCGGGCTCTGTGGAGCGGGAGGGAGCTGAACTGCCTTCCGGGTGTTTGTGGCCAGGCCAGGGCCGGGTCTCCTGCCTGAGTGGGCTGGGTCAGCGTCACTCTGCTACCCGTGATGGGAGGTGGGAGAGGGCGGTGGTGTTCCCGTGTCCCAAACCAAGTGGGAGGCGGGGCTGCAGCTTTCGCTTTGGAAGCCTCGTGTGAAGGCGGCTGTGCCGGAGTCCCTGGCCTGTCGGCAGTGCAGTGACAGTGTGAGGGGCAGACAGTCTTCCTCCAGATGCCCCCTCATATCACGGGGTTGCAGAGGAGGCCTCCGCTCCTGTCCAGTGGCTGTCGGGCCCAGCCAGCTTCCTGCTGCTGTATCTTGGAAGACTGTGTGGGCTGTGTGGGTGCTTGGCGAGTCCCCTCTTAGGGACCCTGGGGCTGCTATCCTTGACAGGGGCCTTATCTCACCTCCGTACTTGGTTCCACGCTGGCTTTGTGACCTTGGACAAGTTGCTTAACCTGTCTGTCTCGGCGTAAACTGGGGACTGTTTCTTGATCTTGGGCTTTATGTTTTGAGTGGTACAGGTGGGGCACAGATGGGTCATTGTGCTGCTGGGAGCACTTAGCCAAGAGACTGGAGCCTTCCCCACTCCCACTGTTCTTCTTTCCGGTCGGCTCGCCTCCTTCCTCTTGGGTTCTCTGATAGCCGTAGGACTCCATTGGACTACATCTTTTTGTCAGCGTAGACAGCTGTCAGAGACGGAGACAAAATGTGGCAGTTGGAGCTGCCGCTTGGCCTGCTGCCTGGGACGTGGCCCCTTGTCCCGCAGAACGTCTTGCTGGGCAGCCAAGCGCTTTCCTTGCAGGCTGATAACAGGGTGGTGCGGTGTGGTGCCTCCCTTGGGCCATGGCAGGGTCCTGCTCCGAGGGGGCTGGGGGTCCTGCTTCAAGGGGGCCGGGGTCCTGTTCCGGGCAGGGATTCTGCTCTGAGGGTCCTGTTCCAAGAGGGCTGGGGGGGTCCTGTTCTGGCCGGGGGTTCTGCTCCGAGGGGGCCGGGGGTCCTGTTCCTGGGGTGGTGGGCTGCCTTTGTGAGAGCTGTTGCTCACCTGCCACGTGCGTTCTGGGCATTCTGGTGACTGGAGAATTTGGGTTGTGTTAGAGTGTTGTCGCTCTGTCCTGCAGATGCGTGAGTTCCCAGGAGTCCTGCAGGTTGGCTTGCCCTTGCTCTGTGTGGGCTGGTGTGGGTCTTAGTGGGCTGCGGGCTGAGGGTCACTTGGTTGGGAAGCTCTGTGTGCCGCAGTGGAGGGTCCGCGACGAGGGTTTTCTGATCCCTCATGCTGGGCTTTTGACCCGTGTCACTGCATGGCTGGCCCTGGCCCCAGGCAGTGTTTCCTGAGGCAGGTGCCCAGCCAGGTGGTCGGGCTTGAGAGCTTTGAGTCTCGAGGTCTGTTCTGGGGAATGACTGTGCTGGTGGAGGCCAGGAGGGGGTCGTTGGGCTGGGCGGGCCTCGGGTAGGAGCTGTGTTTTGCTCTTTTAAGCTGAACTGATCACAGGAAGGGACAGCATCAGGAGTTTCTCTCTAGGACACCCCTCACTCAGCGAGGTCGCCGTGTGTGGGTTTCGGGCTATGCCCTCCCAGACACCCTCAGGTCCGGGGAGCACTTTGGGGGCCATCTGGCCCTTTGTCCACCGGCTTCCTTTGGAAAAAGCGTCTGCTGCGAGTGTTTTTCTCCAGCTTTTTGTGGGGTTCCATGTGGTCTTGGGCCATGCTCTGGGGTCAGGCTCCTTGGCAGGCCCTGGTCCCTGTGCAGAAGGCCAGGATCTGTAGGTTTGGGCTGGTCTGCCCCCCAGGTGAGGGTTCTGGAAAGACGGTCGGCTACTGGGTCTTCTCAAGGGGCAGGGGGACAGCAGCTTGAGAGTGGTTCTTGACCTCTGCCCACCCCAGCTGGCTGTGCATGGGGAGGACATGGGCGGCTGCCCCTGGTGGCTTCTGCAGGGAACAGAACCTAGTGGTCATTTTCCCCGCACGGTCTGTCATCCATCTGTCTGGGACCCCTCTGGGAGCTGGGCTGGGTCCCTCGCCTTCTGGGACAGCAGGGTCACGGAGGGGGGCTTCCCTCTGTCAGTGTCTTGTTTCTCAGCCGTCCCTGTGGCTGATTTGTGCAATGTCTGGCTGTCTGTCTGTCTGAGTCTCCGGGTGAGGGCAGACAGGATATGGTGCGAGGAAGTCTGGGGTAAGTGTGAGCCGAACCCCGCCCTGGAGTCTCGCGGGGTTATGGGGCCACAGCCCCAGCTTAGGTTAGGCCTTCGCTGCCGGCAGGGCCTCCAGAGAGAAGGCGGTGGTTCCGGGGCCTGGGCCCTGACTGTCTGGCAGGAGGTGTCCACGCCAGCGGCCGGACTCTCTGTGGCAATAATGTGTCTCTTTCTAAGGATTGCGAAAGTTGAGGGAGGATTTCTCCAC